GTCTGGGTCTCCTGGAGACCGAGTAGGAGCCTGAGGACCGGAGCACCCACAAGCTCGTAAGTAGCGTGTGCGTGCTCCCCTAACCTGATATGGTCCTCTGCTCCCGCCATATCTGCCTCTCCCACTGACCGTACTAATACCTCCCTCCTCCCTCAACCCCCCACCCTCCCCCCCCACCCTTTCTACACCGCAACCCTCAAAGAAAAAAACAACAACAAGAAAGTCCAGTTGCCTTTTTTTTTGGAGGGGGGGGGAAAGGAAGCATCTTTGGGTCAAATCTTGACAACATTAAGATGTGTGGACTTCAACTCCCAGAATTCCCTCAGCCATTCATTAATTCTAGGAGTTAAAGTCCTCATGTCTTAATGTTGCCAAGATGGAGAGATACTCTTTTGAGTTGCAAAAGCAGAGGATGGTGAGGATGGCCAAACAGATCATTGGCAGCTCCCTCCATCCCATCCAGGACATGGCACAGAAGCGTTGCTTGAGCAGAGTCCGCAAGATTGTCTGGGACACTACACATCCTCTTCACAACCTGGGAGGAGGGGGCTTCATGGTATCTGAAGCAGAACATCCAGATTCAGTCAAGTTTTGTTCCGTACAGTATCAACCTTGTGAACTCTCAAGCTTCCTCCTTCCGTTATGTATTCAAGATGGACACTAATTAATATTTATATGTTACTTTTATGTAAGGTTGTAGGTCTATATATACATATGTTGTATAGAGTATGTTTAAATGTGTGTTATGTATGTGTACACTTTGAGAGCAAGCAACTAAATTTCATTTTTAATGTGTGCCATTCTGCCCACAGTAAAAAATGACAATAAAGGTTATCTATCTATCTATCTATCTATCTATCTATCTATCTGTCTGTCTGTCTGTCTGTCTGTCTGTCTGTCTGTCTGTCTGTCTATCTATCTATCTATCATCTACCTCTATATCTATCTATCTATCTATCTATCATCTAGATCTATACATATGTTGTATATAGTATATTTAAATGTGTGTTATGTATGTGTACACTTTGAGAGCAAGCAATTAAATTTCATTTTTAATGTGTGCCATTATGCCCACAGTAAAAAATGACAATAAAGATTATCTATCTATCTATCTATCTATCTATCTATCTATCTATCTATCTATCTATCTATCTATCTATCTATCTATCTATCTATCTATCTATCTATCTATCTATCTATGCTATTTTTTCCCTCTCTCCTTCGCCTCTAGGGTTGCCAGGTCTGCTTCCAAAAAATAGCGAACAAGCGGGGGGGGGGGGGTAAGTAGTAAAAAAAGTAGACTGTACAGCTTTAGATTACGTACCATTTCATCATAAAGCTTTTGAATAAAAAAAATGTCCACTATTTTGTGAAAAAAAATAGTGAACATAATGTGAAAAAAGCGGACTAATAATGCTTGGGGGGAAGCTTCTTCCTCTCCTGCACCAACCTGCCACCCTCACCTGCACAAATGAAAATGAAACAGGACAGACCACCCCTGGAATACTGCATCCAATTCTGGTCACCATATTACAAAAAAGTCGTTTAGACTTTGGAAAAAATGCAAAAAAGAGCAACTAAGATGATTAAAGGCCTGGAGACTAAAACATATGAAGAACAACTGCAGGATTTGAGTTTGGCCAGTCTAGAGAAAAGAAGGACTAGGGAGGACATGATAGCAGTATTCCAGTATTTGAGGGGCTGTCACAAAGAAGAGGGGGGGTCAGCCTATTCTCCAAAGCGCCTGAAGGCAGGACAAGAAACAATGGATGGAAACTAATCAAGGAGAGAAGCAACCTGGAATTAAGGAGAAACTTCCTAACAGGGAGGACAATTAACCAGTGGAACAGCTTCCCACAAGAAGTTGTAGGTGGGTCTATATATGGGTCTATACATACTGTATGTTGTATATAGTATGTTTAAGTGTGTGTCATGTATGTTTCACTTTGAGAGCGGGCAACTAAATTTCATTTTTGATGTGTGCCGTTGTGCCCACAGTAAAAAAAAATGACAATAAAGGTTATCATATCATATCTTATCTTATCTTATATCTTATATCTTATATCTTATATCATCTTATCTTATATCTTATATCTTATCATATCTTCATCACTGGAGCTTTTTAAGAGGAGACTGGACAGCCTCTGGTCTGAAATGGTACGGGGGGTCTCCTGCGTGAGCAGAGGGCTGGACTAGAAGACCTCCAAGGTCCCTTCCAGCTCTATTCTGATTCTGATTCAGATGCCAAAAAAAAATAAAAAAAAATTTTCTCTCAAAAAAGAAAGGAATAGTTGCCGGAAGACAGCTGGCAGGAGCCGCGCGCTTTGCATGGCGGGACACGTAGTCCCGACTGCCCGCGGGAGCCTGGCCGGCTACGGCGGCTGGAACTGCAAGTCCCGAGAGGTTTTGCTCTCCGCCGCTGCAGTCCGCGCCCAGGAGCCCCGCGCGGGCGGCGCATCGGGCTCTATTGTCTGGGCATCTCCCTCCGTCCTCCCGTTTCCCCCGCGGGGCTTTGGCATCTTCCGCGCGGGTGGGGGGCGGGCGGGGGGCAGGGCCGGCCTCGGGAGCGCAGCAGCATGGCTGATGAGCAGGAGATCATGTGCAAGCTCGAAAGCATCAAGGAGATCCGGTAAGCGGGGTGGTGGTGGTGCAGGGAGGGGGTTACCTAAGGATGCATCGCTTCGCCCCTTTCCTTGGGGGCCGTTTTCGTGGGGTGGGGGGGGTGGGGGGGTTACGCAAAAGAAAGGAAACCCCCCCCGGATCGGGGAGGGGGAAGATTCTTCCATCCAGCCAAGGGTCTCTTCCTCCTCCTCCATTCCCAGGAATACACCTGGATTTCCCATCCCCAGCGTTCGCACGCCGCTTGATTTTTTTTTGTTTTGTTTTTTTTGCACAAAAGACTCTCGGTTGCAAAATTCTCGTTTCTTGGAAGAATTTGGGTTTGGCGAGAACGAAGGGGGGGAAGGACTCGCAACCCATTGAGCGAACTGGCCCGGCTGGGTTTCACACGATCCTAGGGTTGGAAGGGACCTTGAAGATCTTCCAGAGACACGAAGCTAACGTGGTCCAAGCTAAGCCAGGGGGCTGGGTCCCAGAGGTGCAATAATAATAATAATAATAATAATAATAATAATAATAATAATAATAATAATAATAATAATAGTAGTAGTAGTAGTAGTAGTAGTAGTAGTAGTAGTAGTAGTAGTAGTAATAGTTGGAAGGGACCTTGGAGATCATCGAGTCCAACCCCCTGCTCAGGCAGGAACCCTACACCATTTCGTACAGATGGCTGTCCAGTCTCTTCTTAAAAACTTCCAGTGTTGGAGCATTCACCGCTCCTGGAGGCAGGTTGTTCCACTGGTTAATTGAAGCTTCTTCAACTCTGACAACCATGGATGGTTTAACCATAGCTTAATGGACAAACCTCATTTGTGCTGCTTTTGCACAAAATCTAAGCTGCAAAATGCCAGCAATCATGAGTTGAACAGGATGTGGCCAAAACAGTCAATGTGGTCATTCTAAAAGTGTTTTTTCAAGAGGCAACTGGGCCTGCTTGTGTTTCTTTGAAGACGTTTTGCTTCTCATCCAAGAAGCTTCTTCAGCTCTGACTGGACGGTGGGGAATGGAAGGATTTATACTCCTTGCAGACAGCTGGCCATTTGCCTTCTTTTATTCTCTTCCACTCCCCACCATCCAGCCAGAGCTGAAGAAGCTTCTCGGATGAGAAGCTAAACGTCTTCAAAGAAAATCAAGAAAGTCCAGTTGCCTCTTGAAAAAGCCCCTTTGGGACAACCTGGATGACTGAGAATCTCCATAGACAGTCAACGTGGTAGGTTGCAAATAAGTAGAACTTTCGTCCATCGTCGCAATGCCTATCTTGACGTCACAACCACACCCTGCAGACCCCTTGGTTTGGGAGCTAATCTTCCCTTTCTCTCTCATTGCCAGACTCTCCTGTCTGCAGTGAGGAAGGCTCAAATGCCTCCTGGCGACCCAGCTTCTCTGTCTTCTCCATTTCTCCCCACCTCCCCCTTCCCCAGAAATAAAACACTGCAGATGGAAAAGATCAAAGCTCGCTTGAAGGCAGAATTTGACGCTCTGGAATCCGAGGAGAGGCACCTGAAGGAGTACAAACAGGAGATGGATCTCTTGCTGCAGGAAAAGATGGCCCATGTGGAGGAACTGAGACTCATCCATGCCGACATCAACGTTGTGAGTGGAGGGACGGAGACAGATCCCCGTTGCAAATTTCTGGCTGCTGATGCAGTCAGGAGGAATCTCAATTATCTTAATCAATGGGCAAAAGGAGAAAGACTTGAGGATCTAAAGCAGGGGTAGGCAACCTTGGCTCTTTTATGACTCGTGGACTTCAACTCCCAGAATTCCTGAGCCAGCCATGCTGAGGGGAAAGGGAGAGGTTTCCAAGCTGAGCCATGCTGGCTCAGGAATTCTGGGAGTTGAAGTCCGGAAGTCATCAAGGGGGCCATAGTTTCCCTATGCTGGCTCAGGAATTCTGGGAGTTGAAGTCCACGAGTCATCAAAGAGCCAAGGTTGTCTACCTCTGATCTAAAGTCTTGTCTTCCAAAATGGTTGCTATTAATTTTTATACAGGTGGTCCTTGATTTACGATCACAATTTAGCTCCAAATTTCTGGTGTTGAGCGATGACAGATGTTAAGTGAATTTTGCCCCATTTTATGACGTTCCTTGCCTCAATTCTTAGTGAATCACTGCAGTTAATAAATTTAATAATATGGTTCAAGTGCATCTGGCTTCCCCATTAGCTTTGGTCACAAAAGGGGATCACATGACCTCAGGACACTGCAGCCGTCATAAATATGAACCAATTGCCAAGTGGCAATAGTAATAGCACTTAAGATTTATATACCGCTTCACAGTGCTTTACAGCCCTCTCTAAGCGGTTTACAGAGTCAGCCTGTTGCCCCCAAACAATCTGGATCCTTGTTTTACCCACCTTGGAATGATGGAAGGCTGAGTCAACCTTGAGCCAGTGAGAATCGAACTCCTGGCTGTGGGCAGAGTTAGCTTGCAATGCTGTATTCTAACCACTGTACCACCACAGCTCCTTGATCACGTAACCGTGGGGATGCTGCAACCATTGTATGTGTGAAACACAGTCCTAAATCACTTTTTTCAGTGCCATTGTAACTTTGAATGGTCACCTGCTGTGTTTTCCAGAGTTTCCTGCCAATCTTCTGAGGCTGGCTGAAAACTCTGGAGGCTGCAGGTCTAATGCACACTAAGCTGTGTGTTTTTCAGCCACATCCTCCTTTTTCTGTGTTCTGTGCCCAATAAGATACATCCTCTTCCCTGTTTTTCTGCTATCTCTGGAATATTTTACGTGAGAAGAGAAAGCCTAGCCTTAGAGGGAGGCCACCACGACCACCACCCGGCTATTTATTCAGCCTTCAGTGACCTCAGGTGGGAGAATTGGGACCAGCCATTAAGATGTGAGGGAGAGATCTGGATCTGGGTCTCCTGCTTCTCTTCCAGATGGAGAACACAATCAAACAGTCCGAGAATGACCTGAACAAGCTCCTGGAGTCAACACGCCGCCTCCATGAGGAATACAAGCCTCTCAAGGAACATGTGGATGCTCTCAGGATGACCCTGGGCTTGCAGAGGTTGCCCGATTTGTGTGAAGAGGAAGAAAAACTTTCTCTTGAGTAAGTTGAGAAGCTGTAAAGTCCACCACTTCTGGGTCTGGTAGAGGAAAAGAGGGGAAAGGGAAGAGTCCATGGATGCATGAAAGCGTATATTGGGAGTACCGATAAAGGAGAATATTTGTAGCTCAGGGTGGAAATGAGAGGTCCTTGGTGCTGTCTGAGCTCGGTGGTTTTCTTGCAGATGTTTCGTTATCAAAGTAGGTAAAATCAATGATGGATTGTCTGGCACACTCATGATATTACCTAGTTTGGTGATGAAACATCTGCAAGAAAACTACCAAGCTCAGACAGCACCAAGAACCCCAGTTCTTCTCCTCCTCTTCCTCCTCCTCCTCCTCCTCCTCCTCCCAAACCTTATTCCGTTATTGCATTGAAGGGAATTTGGGTAATGAAACGTCTGCAAGAAAACAACTAAGCTCAGACAGCACCAAGATCCCCAGTTCTCTCCTCCTCCTCCTCCTCCTCCTCCTCCTCCTCCACAGTGTTACCTAGTTGGATAATGAAATATCTGCAAGAAAACAACCAGGCTCAGAGAGCACCAAGGACCCCTCATTTCAACCCTGAGCTACGAATATTCTCCTTTGTTGAGACCAAAAAATGGATCTAGCTGTTCTGGGTGATCCGCTTCTGTAACTATACCCCACCCACTCCCCAAAAAACCCCCCATCATTGCTCCATATTTCACAGAGGGAGACAGGGTGCTCCAGGGAGAAAACTAGAATATCCTGGAGATAGGATATGTCATTTGCTCTACAGAAATAAAAGTGAAATGAAAGAGCAGGTCAGTTTCTGAATCTTTCAGCCCTGATCGTGTTTTTTTTGGCTTTGTCTAGTTACTTTGAAAAGCAGAAAGCCGAATGGCAGACGGAGCCACAGGAACCTCCAATCCCAGAATCCTTGGCTGCAGCGGCAGCAGCTGCACAACAGCTGCAGGTGGCCCGGAAACAGGACACAAGGCAGACAGCCACTTTCAGACAACAACCACCTCCTATGAAGGTAAGTAGTTAAAAAAAATTGTGCATAGATCACTGTTTTTCAACCTTGGCCACTTGAGGATGTATGGACTTCAATTCCCAGAATTCTCTAGCCAGCGTGGCTGGCTGGGGAATTCTGGGAGTTGAAGTCCACACTTCTTCGAGTAGCCCAAGTTGAAAAACACTAGCATAGTTGGTTCAGTTATAAAACTAGACACTGTGGGATGTTTCCTGTTTCCCATGTGGCCCCAAATCTGAGAGTGCAACCAGCAATTTCAACCACAGAAACCTTGTATTCACCTTGAACTTCAGGTTCTTAGACTTGGTCCCAAATTGTGGAGCAAAAATGAGTTTCTCCCCCTTGGATCATGAACGTTTTGTGGGTTTTTTTCCTGTTCTGTGACGTTGGATTTTTCATATTTTTACTAACATATCTCTGAATTCTGGAACCGTGATATAGGAAAATTTTTCATAGGCAGATTGTGGGGAGAAGTAGTCCAAGGGAGGGGAGGGAAGCCATATCATATGATCAAAAGACTGAAGACATGCCAGTTGCCAGCTTATCTTAGAAACAGCAACTCAGCCCAGGTGGTGAACAACCTGGGAAGAAATATTCCAGATTGTTCAAAGAAATTCCACTGAAACGCACTATAAACAGGGCTAGGAAATTTCTATGATTCTGTCTTTACTCAGAGACTATCAATAAAGAATATCTGGTCTGAACCCAAACAGTTATGCTCCTATGCCTGGAGGAAACCTCAGCCATGCTAGCACTGATGATGTTACCTAGCTGGGTTGTAGCGGGGACTGCCTGAGAATGCTCGCAGGAGCTTGACTGGGAAGGAAAAGATTGGGACAGCTGCAGTTGGCTTTGGGTGTGGCTGGCGTGAGTGGAAGGAGGAAGGATGGAAAAGGAAAGGAAAGGAAAGGAGAAGGCCGGGGTTGTTGTTGGAGTTGAGAAGAGAAGGTCTGGAAGCTTATTTTATTATCAAGGGTATTTTAAATAGAGGCTAGGTAGAGTGAAGTTTTATTGCTTCCTCCGTGGGAGGATATTTGAAACGGAGGCAAGCGAGAGTGTGGAGAAAGGGAGTTGGCTGGGGTTTCTAGCCTCGGTNATCAACCATTGTGACCGGTTAAGTTCGTGCCTGAAAGTCCTGCTTCAACAAGAAGAGCCTGCCACCCATCAATGCTGCATGAGTTCCGGTTGTAAGACATCTCACCGATCTCTAAAGAACATTACCGCAAGGCTGGACAAAGGGGGGTTGTGGCTGGGAGGGCCTGGGCATTGGCGGCCTCTAAAGAGGTAGCGCTACAGGGTAATAAAATGTCTGCCACCAATCAACCAGACTCAGAGAGCACCAAAGACTGCACAGCTAAAGTTCCCTAATCAACTAGTTCCCTAATTAGGCAATTCTTTAATTAAGTACTACCCTAATCAAGGAACTATCAAGGAGAAAATCACACCCGCACCAGTATGGGGAGGGCAAGCTATTGTATATAAAGAAGCAACCCCCACCTTCGCCAGTGCTGATGTTGTTACCTGGTTGGGTAATGAAATGTCTACAACCAAACAAGCTTAGAGAGCATCAAGGACTCTACAATAATGGTTTAGTCCAGGGGTAGGCAACTTTGGCTCTTTTATGACTGGTGGACTTCAACTCCCAGAATTCCTGAGCCAGCATGGCTCAGCTTGGAAACCTCTCCCTTTCCCCTCAGCATGGCTGGCTCAGGAATTGAAAGAGTTGAAATCCACGAGTCATAAAAGAGCCAAGGTTTGCCTACTCCTGGTTTAGTCTGTAAGTTCTGGTTAACCAAACCATGACCTGGTGCTTTGTATGAGCCCAGTCTGGGTCAGTCTTCCCAAGCTGAGCATCTTTGCCATCCCACTGACTGGGGGTCTCTAAACTCGGCAACTTTTAAGACTTGTGAACTTGAAGTCCTAGAATTGCTCAGCCAGCTATGCTGGCTGAGGAATTCTGGGACTTGAAGTCCACAAGTCTTCAAGTTGCCGAGTTTGGAGATGCCTGTTCTAGGAATTCTGGTTCCTACAGCCCTGTTGGGGAAGGCCAATCCAAGCAAAGAGGGCCACGTTCTCTCCTTCCCACTCCTAACAGATCGACTTTGTTCTTCTTTCCAGGCATGCCTCTCCTGCCACCAACAGATCCACCGGAATGCCCCCATCTGTCCTCTCTGCAAAGCCAAAAGCCGGTCTCGTAATCCGAAGAAGCCCAAGAGGAAGCAAGACGAATGAAAACACCGCAGAACCGTCTTGCCCAGCCGCCACCCCCACCCCCCACCCCAAACCCGGAAGACCTTTTTCCTCCTTTTGTGGTAGACCCGTCCAGATGACCCACCTTTGTTGGCGTGTGAAGCCTGAGTGTGACTTAAGCTTTTGTTCCATTTAACGTGTTAGCACCCTCGTGCCGTCGGTTGAGTGACGCTGGTTTTCAGCAAATCTGGGAAGAGGCTGCTTTCGGCGGAGACGTGAAGACGGTGCTACCTTCGGACACCGCACACCCGCAGGGGCTACGCCACCCTGACGGCAAAAAAGGACATTTTGTGCAGAGAACACAACAGGTGGCTTGTCTCCTCTTTAATAGCTCGATGGACCTCAAGCCCCCTTTAGCAGATGGACCTCAAGCCCCCTTTTTATTCAGCTGATCAAAGGCTCACTGTTCCCATGACCTGTTTATTTTTTTAAATCAGGACAGTATTTTTGTACCAAGACTCTACTTTTCCATTCAGTCTCCAGTGCTCAAGAGTCTTTTCATACAGATGTCAGGATGTGTAATGTTTATTTGGTTTTGTGCTTAGGTATAACTAGAGGGGCGCGATAGCTCAACGGTTAAAGAAGCTTTTCAGCTGGAAAAGTGACAGCCTGGGTTTGAGACCCAAGCTCCTCACGATGGGGTGAGCTCCCGTTCCTTGCTCCAACTCCTGCCCATCTAGAAGTTTGAAAGCATGAAAATGCAAGTAGATAAATAGGTACCACTTCCCTGGGAAGGTAACAGCATTCTGTGCACCTCAGCATATAGTCATGCCGGCCCCATGACCACAAACGTGTCCTCGGACAACGTTGGCTTCCTCGGCTAAGAAACGGAGATGAGCATCGCTCCCTAGAGTCGGACAGGGGAAACAGAAGAACAGAATTACTGCAGAACTGTGGACCACCAACTAAATGTTGGCTTGCCTCCTTTTTTAGTTCCATGCTTTAACTTTTACATCAATGACCTGCCTGAAGCTGTTTCTTGGAAATTTATTTACGTCGATGATGTCAATCACACAGCCCAAAGAACCAACTTCAGGGATGCAGATCCTTTCACAAGATCTCCAGAAGATGGATCCCTGCTTTAAAAAATGGTGCCTCAACCAGGGTCTAGGACGGGTGGGCAATGTTGGCTCTTTTATGACTCGTGGACTTCAACTCTCACAATTCCTGAGTCAGCATGGCTCAGCTTGGAAACCTCCCTATCCCCTCAGCATGGCTGGCTCAGGAATTCTGGGAGTTGAAGTCCACGAGTCATAAAAGAGCCAGGGTTGCTTACCCCTGGTCTAAGACAACTCATCACGGCCAACTCACTGCGGGACAAAAGTTACACTAATATCAAAGAAATGTGAAATAGAATCGTTAAAGAAAGGATGCCAAAGAAATAACAGAATCACAGAATTGGGAGGGACCTTGGGGGTCATCTAGTCCAACCCCCACTCAGGCAGGAAACCGTATACCATTTCAGACAAATGGTTGTCTAATCTCTTCTTAAAAGTGGAGGTCTTTCATAACCCATCGAGGGACAAAATGAAATGTGAATGACAAGAAATAAAATATTTCATAAATTATTTTAAATAATTACATCGAATTGTCCCGTAGCGCGTTTCCCACAGTGGCGAGTTGTCCTAGAGACCTGGTTGGGGTGCCATTTTTTTGAAGCAGTCATCCCGCTCCAACAAGTCTCACAAAAAACAGAAGGAGCCACATTCCACCTCAGCAACAGCCACGCAAACTACCAGCCTTCAGTGAAGTTACGGAACCGTATTTTACAGTGTAATAACTCTCCGAAGTCCCTTGCCAAATCACTAACTTCCAACAATGCCTGGAAAAAACAGCTGCAAAATTGGGAAAGCCACAAAAATCACCCAACAGACTGGCTGGAACATCCCAGGATGCTGATGTTAACCACCTACGAATAACAGCGTTGGCTTTGGTTTACTCCACAGCTGAATATTGTGCCGGTGTGTAGCTTAACAGCGTCCACACCCAAATGGTTGATATTTCGACTTTGCCAGACAAGAGGTATCGTCCCTGACACGTCGCATCCCACTCCTACGCGCTGGTTACCAGTACTTAACAATATCACAGTACTCCACATTAGAAGACGACAAGCTCTTGTTCAGCTGCAGTCAAAGATGCTGAACAACGAGGCCCTTCCTACTCAGAAGGACAATGCGCAGCCCGCCACAAGACTGGAATCCCAGAGGCCAGCATGGAAAACAGTTACAGGCAGTCCTCGACTTAACGACAGTTCATTTAGTGACCGTCCGAAGTTACAACAGCAGTGAAAAAATTGATTCGTGGCCAGTTTTCACCTTTACAACCATTGGACCATATCCCCATGGTCACGTGATTTACATTTGGGTGCTTGACAATTGACTCACATTTATGACGGTCGCAGTGTCCCGGGGTCACGTCATGCCCTTTTGCAACCCAACAAGCAAAGTCAATGAAACCAGGTTACTAATTTAACTGCATTGATTCGCTTAACAAATGTGGCAAGACAAATCGTAAAATGGGGCAAAACTCACTTAACAAAATTCTCACTTAACCACATCAATTTGGGGCTCAATTGTGATCCTAATTCGAGGACTACCTGTATTTATCCAGTTTAACCCCAAGAATGCCCGGAGAGAAGAAGGATCCTTCCTGTATCCTGACCATTAGTGATCCCTCTCTCAAATCACCTGGTTTTGACCTGCTTCGCTCTGTGTGGAGGAAATTGAACAGAATTAGGTGTGATACTGGAAGAAGTACCTCTGCCCTCCTATCGGTGGGGATGGAAAAATTCCCCTTGTTGCGATTGTGGTGCCTATATACAAATTATTAAACATATTGCGCAGGATTGCCCACGATAATGTGCGTTCTCTGGTTCCCTAGAAGACCTGCAAGAAGCAACACCAGAGGTGATCACCTGGATAGCTGAATTGGACATCCAGTTAGGAGGCCCCTGCCGTACCCCATAGAAGTTTTGTACATAACTATGTGGATTGTGTGTATATGTTTACTTCTGTCATGTTCTCATCATACACTAAATAAATAATAATCTGAAAAAGTGTATTCTCTTTTATACTGAAGGAACTCCATATGCATAAAAAGTAAGCCATGATCCTCTAGAGCAGAGGGTCTTCAGACTTGGCCCTTTTATGACTCATGGACTTTAACTCCCAGAAATCCTCAGCCACCATGCCTGGCTGAGGAATTCTGGGAGTTGAAGTCCATGAATCATAAAAGGGCTGAGTTTGAAGACGGGGAATGTCTCCAACCTTGGCAACTTTAAGACCTGTGGATTTCAACTTCCAGAATTCCTCAGTCTTCAGGTTGCCAAGATTGGAGACCCATGGTCTAGACTTGGAAGGTTTGATTCTAACACATCCTTATATGTCATCAAAATAATTGAATTAAATCTGTTGCTTTTAATATCGTGTTACTATAACAGTAAGGGATGGAGAGGAGGGTGGGAAAGGAATGGATGAGAACAACGATGAGAGTGACTCAGTTGTCTGCTTATTTTACAAATGGCAACGGCCCAAGTGAAGTGAACCCAGGCAGAAGGATTTCAGGTGAGTTAAAGAGATTCCACCTTAATTATCTCACTCAAGGGTGGATAAAAGGTTCCAAGACTGAGTATGTCTCCCAAGACTAGCATTAACTATCTTACTGTAATCTGTAATTCTTACTTAACAGAGTTGGAAGGGACCTTAGTCCAAACCCCTGCTCAAGCAGGAGATCCTATATCATTTCAGACAAATAGTTGTCCAATCTCTTTCTAAAAACCTCCTTCTTGAGGCAGGCTGTTCCACTGGTTAATAATTTTCACTGTCAGGAAATTTCTTCATTGTTAAATCTCTCTCTGATTAGTTTCAATCCATTGCTTTTTGTCCTGCCTTCAGGTGCTTTGGAGAATAGTTTGATTCCCTCACCCTTCTTTGTGGAAGCCCCCCAGCTATTGAAATGCTATCGTGTCACCCCTAGTCCTTCTCTTCATTAAACTAGACATGTCCCATCCCTGCAACCATTCTTCATATGTTTCAGCCTCCAGTCCCCTAATCATGTTTGTTGCTCTTATTAGAATAGAATACAGCTGGAAGGGACCTTGGAGGTCTTCTAGTCCAGCCCCCTGCTCAAGCAGGAGAACCTATACCATCTCGGATAGGTGATTGTCTAGTCTCTCAGGTGATTGTCTAGTGTCTCTGCACTCTTTCTAGAATCTCAACATCTTCTTTATGTTGGGGGGACCAAAACTGGATGCAGTATTCCAAGTGTGGTCTCACCAAGGCATCACAAACTGATCAAGCTCACTTCACGCGAACTTGATTTTTTTCCCCTGTGTCAATGCAGCCTAGGACTGTGTTGTCTTTGTAGGGCTTGGCATCAATAATGGTCATAACAAACAGGAGAACAGAATTAATACCAGCTGCCAAACCAAGATTTCCTGTTTTAAGCTACAGATCAGCAGAAAATTGATCTTAAATGAATGCCTCCCCTCTTGAACTCGATTGCACTTAACACAGCGAATGCAGAAAGCCCAACGGCAATTTCAGACGGCTTTAATTCAGTAAAGCACAATTGCCTTCAGTCTGCCACAAATTTATATTTATAAACACAGTAGTTAGGAAAATAAAAGACTGTTGGGCATAATGACCTCTCCACTGCAAGCCTACTACTCGAGGAATAATTCATTTCAGATTTCTAATCATCCAGATCAAAGGAAGCACTTGAAAACACAAATGGAAATTATTCATGGTCTAATTCTGGTTGTGTTTTGCAGAGGACGTAGAATCATAGGGACCACAGAGGTCTTTTAATCCAACCCTTTGCTCAAGGCAAGAACCTTATACCAGTGATGGTGAACCTTTTAGAGATCGAGTGCCCAAAAAACAGCCTTGCCCCTACCCCCCATCCACCCTGCCCCTGCTCCTGCCCCCCATCCATCGTGCCACAGCCCCCTGCCTACCCATAGGGCCACTCACTGCCTCCAC